TGGGGAGTGGGAAGATTTTTAAAACAGAAGAATAATGCATAAATCAAAAATTAAATACATTTTTTCCATTTTAAAATACTCACGTTTACAGAACTACTTAGAAAGCCATACTTGTCATTTGCTTGCCCACCTTTGCCTTTAATTTATACACTTACATATTTGTAACTTAACTCACTTCTCAGGTGTAATTTATCAATCCATCTAAGTGCTGTAACTAGTTTTAGGTAACTGGCATTCTGTATAATGGCTTCACATTCACCACCACCCCATCCAAATAAGTAAATTGTATTGCCACTTCTGCTGTCTGGTGTAATAGCAGTCCCTCTATAAATTGAGCTAATAGGATATATAAATAAATTAGCTAATAGGATATTTCCTATCATCTAGTATAACATTTTATCTTAAAGCTACTCTAATTTCTTTGGAGTTCTCAAATGCATCATAAACACCTGGAATACATTATGCTTACTAATATTATTAGCCAAATGTGATACTTGCTCCAAATTAAGAAACTGAATAGAAATATTAAGCTAATGTACACATCCTTATTTGCATTAACTCACATTATAAATCCATGTGAACTTTCAGTGTTACCCAATGAAGGTTTGATACTTCAGGGCCATTATTAGAATTGCAGTCTCCATCACAGATATGAAATCATTCCATGTGATCAAATATATGGTCTATTACTTCATTTTGTAAGCAATAACATAGATAATGATTGGAGAAGGCCTGACTGCAAGTCTGTTGATCAACTGAGACTGTTTTGTTCAAAATACATAACACAGGATAAAATCTTGACAATTTCAGGTATGGATTAAGTGCTTGTAATCTCTGATGAACTATCCCACATCTCTGGACCTGCTGCTTAATTGGCACCTGGACTAGAAGACTTGTAATCTTCTGGTCCTAGACAATTCTTCTGATAGGTCAGCCCAAATCCTGGCAATGAAGGTTCCCTAAAGCTGAAGTCCTGAAGTCACTTTAGTGTTGTTTGATAATATATAGCACCTCTAACTCTAGACATACAGGAACCAAATAAATGAACCCATGTCCCCAAAACTGCTTATAATATATAGGTTATGTAATTGAAAATTTGAATAACACATAAAACCAGTAGGAAAGGAAAACAGGGAAAGAACTCCTCACTAGAAGCTTTTCAGGGACTGGGAATGAAAAATGTTTGATAGGCAGAAAAGGGCACAGAGAAGCATGTAGAGATGGTGAGATGATTACGAGTAGCAGGTAGACGTGAAAGTAAGGCTTTATCACTAATTTAGAGAGCTCACTTTACACATTAGAACCTGTGTGCTGAGTTCCTTATTAGTGCTATGCATCAATAAATAACATCAAATTCTATGGGACTATTTTTGTCTCTACCTCTTTCCACTCCCCACGAAGACTATTTCAATTACATTAATGAAAACATGTTAACTAACTCTTCCACAGGATCTATGATCCATGCTGGAAAAACAGGACAGACACTAAGTAGGTTTAGTTCAGCAGGAACAATGACTTGCCTCTCCAACAGATCAGGCAGAAGATCAGTCTAGACTAAAGCACAACCTGAGAATTCTGCACACAACTGCCACAGTGTCTTCCATATTTAATGCTATGTTCCCTGATGCTTTGCACTACTTCGGTGTAAATGGAGGAGATTACATTGAAAGGAGGCAATTGGAAGATATGTGAGCTTGAACTAGAACATGTGAATATTTGAATTTGAGGACATGCAACTACTTCTTCCTTTAGTACCACCAAATTCACACGTAGATTTGGAAAATCAGATAGAATCAAAGCTAAAACATACCTCTTAAGCATGAAGTGTGATTTGGAATGGAATTTTGGTACCTAAATCAAAGAATACAAACCCTGAAGACCCCTTAAGTTCTTATGTTACTGCAGGGTTAAGTCTGTGGCTAATTCAGCTTTTTGTGAGGTCCAGCTATTCAGGGTTGAGGAACTATTTGGGACCTTCAAATTAAGCTTCTTGAGTTTCCCATTACAACATCTATACTCTGAACACGCTCCCATAAACTTTGGGATGAACAAACTCTGCGCAAAGCTCACTGGAAATAAAACTGTCCCTCTTTGAACACATTTCACGTATCCACTATGTCTGAGGAGAAAAAAATGGCTTATAATATACAAGTTATAAGACAGACATGGTGCCCACCAAAATAATGGACATTTCTCCCTTGATGATGTAATATCAGAAAATAAAACAAAGAACTGGAAAGAACAAAGTACTCATATCAATCACCTACAAAGTCATGCTTTCTTTTGTTCCCTTTTCTCAGAGCCAATGAATCTCAAATGTTGTGTCTGCACCATTTAACAGGAAAGACAGAAAGTGGGTAGTACGGCAGAGATATGAGTTTAGACTTTTCATGGAATAAAGGATGCTAGACAGTCTCCCACTCCCATTTGAGTGTTTTATCACAGTGTCTCAGTTTAATGAGACTGAAGTGTTTTGCTAGGAGGATGAGTTATGAGGAAGACCAAACTCCTCCCTCTAAGCAATTGTAAATCTGAAATTAAGAGGCTCCAATTGAGGAAGTATGGAGAAAGGAAAAAATAACAGCTCTTTATTAAAGGATATATGTGTATTGGCAGAACAACAAAAGAACACAAAAACAACTAAACAATAGTCCTGTACCTAAAAATCCCCTTCAAAAAGGAAACAGTTCAGTACTTTCTGTCTTTTGGTGCAATTCTAACCACGATCAGCAGGAGGCGCTGTGGGATCACTGGAGGTGCAGAGCCTGCAGTTGTTTAGTGGTAGTCAGCAGGGGGCGCTGTTGGGCTCTGGCAGTTGCCACGTGGGGCCCCAGTGTCTGGGAGAAGTCAACAATGGAGATTTCCCCCCACACACTGAGAAGGGGAAGGGGAAAAGGGGAAAAAGGGGGTTCTTCCCACAAAACTCGCGCTGTCTGCTGCTGGCTATGGTCAGGATTTCCCCCCCTTCATCAATGGGCACACGGGAGCGGAGGAGGGAAAGGGTGACCTCCTCCCAAAAAAGTTCCTCTGCAGATGGGTCAAGCCTCTCTGATGAAATCCTAGCAGATCTGACCTGGGGGCAGAACAGGGCACCGGAAAACGGAGGCAAACAGGGGCCAGAAACAGCCAGGTGACCAGGCGAAAAAAAAAGTGAACCTCAGACCCCTCCAACACACACCTTGATCGAGTTAGGGCAAAAGTGAAGTGCCTTCCGTTTCCAAGGAGAGAAAACAAAACCTCATCACCCCTCCCCACAGTCTTTGGAGGGCCATCAGCTTGGAATGTGGATCTGCTAGCTAGTTCCTTTGTGCATGTCAATTACCCTAGGCAAACCCCTTCCCCCTCCCTCATTCAACATCTTTCTTTTACAGCGATGCAGGGAAAAGAAAAATTCCCTGCTTGGTTTTTTAGAACAAGTAAACCTATGACACAGAGGTATTACAAAGAGCACTGGCATTGCCATAATCTCAGTCCTTGTTTCACCTTTGAAAGAGTTGAAACAGAGATCTAAAAATTTTTGAACTATGAACCCCAATCTCTCATGAGTGCGCCTTGCATCACAGAGTTTGAGAGAAAAGCTGAGATATAGCACACACCCTTCTCTTTCTTCAGCCCTTTGTGCTGGTCCTGTTCATTCTGCTGGCTACTGTAAGGCAACCACAATAAGAGTCAATCAACCTCCTCAAAGCTTTGTACATGCCTACTTTATGGATTTTATCTGTGATGAAAAGGAAGCATGCAGAAGATAGTACCACAATGCATAACACAGCAATACCTAATTGCATGGATACAGATTCTTTACAGCTCTATCCCCCTAGTCTCATCCCCTCATGTCCTCCCCATCCATAAAACATGAAAATGCTACTGTGTTCTCTCACTGTGGTGTTGCAGCTCTAGCCCAGTAGTAGCCAAAAAATAAATAACTGAAAGAAGTCATAAAGGTAAACTGAATTATTTTCCTAGAGTTCTGATAAACAAATTCTTGTCTTCTCATCTGTCTTGATCTGCAGGAATAAGGACTTTCAAAAAGATTCAATTAGGACATTCAAATCCTATACCTACTATATTTGCTACTCAATTTAAAAATCTACAATTAATTCTCATGCTGTTAGTGGCGGTCTGAAAAATAAAAGCTAGACGATCCCAGTTGGGGAAACTGGAATATTTTATTGAACACGAGAACACAATTTAAAGGCATCTGGGGCTGGACATGTTAATGAAGGGGACAACCTATGTTAATTGGGGAGTTGCAAAAAATTTGCTGCAGTTTCCAAATAGATAATTTTTCTTCTAGTAGGATTACATGGGGGATAGAGGGATTACAGGGGTTTAGACATGATTTTAACAATCATCTCAAAAAGTCCTTTCTGATTTCTGCTGGAGTCAGGTGTGCAAGTTTCGAGCTGCCTTCCTGCCAAGTCTCCAAAACTTGACAACAGGGTCTGCTTCCCAGAGAGGGAAGAAAAAACCAAGCAGCCAAAGTTCTAGCAAAAAATATATATTTTACATATAAAATAGATATATACAGTGAGAGTATTATATATATATATATCTATAACCCCAGAAACCCTAAATAGCTTCCCAAAGGGAAAAGGGGAAGGGAGAAGGGAAAAAAAGGATAAAATAGGATGAAAAGGGACAAAAACAAAACAGGTCTACACGATCTAAAAACCCAGTAACCAGCAAACTGAAGAATTGGCAAGATCTCACCACTTCCCTTAAGAGAAGCAGGACGTCTGGACGCGGCCCAGCACTCTCCCCTCACACGTGGCAGATAACAGCAGTCACTGTAGGCCTCAGCTCCAGATAAGCCAGACCAAGACAGGGACCCACTGTTCCCCAACCTCGCCGGAAAGGAAGAGAGTGAGCTCTCTTATCTATGCCCTATTTATACCCCAAGTTACGTAAAGGAATAGCATGGAATACTTCCGTGATCACCTTCCTAGTTCCTTCCTGGTTACAAGCTGGTCTCCAGGAAGGCCTAGACTGAAACCATCACACCAGGCTTAATCCGTAAGGTAGAACTTTAACAGGTCTTGTGAGAAGGGTCCAGCTCCTTCAGATCACGAGGTTTTTGTCAGCCCTTGTTGCCCTTTTGCTGAAAGCTGGGTTTGGGCTCCCACAGCTGTTTGTTTTTGTAGCACTATTGTTTATTAGAGACCCCTGGTGGCCTAGTGGTTAGCATGCAGGACTCTCACTGCTGCAACCCGGGTTCGATTCCTCGGTCTCCCGGGCAGATGGAACCCGTTAGCCCTGTGAGGCCATCCATCTATGAGAAGGTCACTCTAAACAAACCTACGTCCTGAGGACCTCACTGCCATTGTCCAAGCGTGCTTGGCCCCGGCAGATGAACCTTAGGATTAAAGGGTGGGCTCAGTTCAGCGCAGGCTGTGTCTCACCTAAAAAAATCCATTGCGCAGGCTGGAAAGGTAAAAGACCTTTCCCCAGATCTTCGTTCGCGAAGACTGGCCATTATATTTATATTTGTTTATTAGGATGTAAAGAGCTAAAACCAATATGAGTTATACATCTTGGAGATGAAAGCTGAATTTCTAGCTGAGATGGAGTTCATTTCCCCTTGAGAAAGGGGAGTAATAGAGCAGCTTGGTGGGCATCTGTCATCCAGCCAAGGTCAACCTACCACAGTACTTTTTGGTGCCCAATGTGGGGTGAGACAATGGCAGTTACATATATATTGCGTGCTATAGTAATAGAAGTTATTGAGTAGCAAGCTCCTGTGTGGGACATGGAGTTTATCTCTTTATTTTGTTGAGTTTGTAACATGTTAATACAAACAATGGCTCTGTGCTTTGCCCTGACATTGGTGGCCTTGTTGTGCTACTTCCTGGGGACGATGAGGGAATACATCTCCCTCTCCCTGAGATTGATGCGGACATTTCTATAATGCAGACTCCAGCAGTCCTTGTTTATCCTTATGTAAGCTGTTCAATACTATAAACTAATACTGTTGGGACTGTTGGAGTTTGTGGAATCTGGTGTCATCCTGGTGTAAGAGAAAACAAACTGTAGGTGAGGAGATATTGAAATGTGCCCTGAAGTGGCCAGTTCCTGGGTGGCAGGGTATGTGGAAGGATTTGAGCAGGTTCCTAGGGTGATTATCACCTCCCATTGCCTGGAACTTTACATCTGAACAGTCAGTCAACCCTGGTAAACTGACGCATCACCTGATGGAAGGGTGTCTTGCGAACCCCAATGAAAACCAGTAACTTCTTGCCCTGTACTGGGGCCTGGCCTGTGCCTATTGAGGCACAGTTCAGTACTCTCAGAGGACTGTAGTGGAGGCAGGGACCCAAACTGCAATGGAGGACACTGTGGCTGAGATAGGGACTCAAATCACAACAACTACAGTAATTGCTCCAGTAGTGAAAAAGAAGAAATGGATAAGGCAAGCTACAGAAGAAGAAGAAGCAGGAGAATCAGGAGGGGAGAGGTCTGACCAAGAAGACGGTCCTTCAACAAAGAAATCGAAAGCAGTGAGACAAATCAAACAGGAAACCAAAGTTACCTGGTCCCTGACCTCATCAGAACTTTGAGACTTGCACAAAGATTAGAGCCGCCAGCCAGGTGAGTGAATTTCTGCCTGGTTGCTTTGATGCTGGGATAACAGGGCTGATAGTGAGCAACTGGAAGGTCATGAAGCCCAACAGCTGGGATCCCTTGTTAGAACTGGAGAATTGAAAGAGGAATTGGAAAAGAGGCAACAATTAGCAATCTCTGGAGACAACTCCTCTCAAGTGTGAGGGCAAGATATCCATTTAAGGAAGATCTTGTGAACTTCCTAGAAAAGTGGACCATTGCAGATGAAGGTATCCAGTACTTGAGAGAATTAGCAGTGCTAGAAGTCATTTATAGTAATCTAAAAAGTGATAACATCTCTAAAGATCCAGAGGATGTCCCTTGCACAATGGCCATGTGAAGGAAGGTGATTCAAAATGCCCCTGCATCATATTCCAACAGCCTAGTACCAATGTATTCATCGTCATCATCATCATCATGGCTAGGCTTCGCGAACGAAGATTTGGGAAGGACTCTACCCACATTTGCTACAAGCGCGCTGGTGGCTAAAGAGGCCAATGAGAGATAATAGCAATGTATTACCTGCAAATGAATCCACCAACTGTAGGGATGGCCTGTGAGTGGCTACTGCAGTTCGTTACTAGGATAGACTGCTGCTGTGGCTGCCTGGGGAGTTGCCACCACCCCCCCCAGTTACTGTTGTTGGTTCCTGGTCTTTACTGAGGAGAGGGAAAGAGTCGCTGCTGCCTGCCGTCTACCCATGGAGAAGCGTTTGCTACATTGTGTTTTTCTTCATTTTTTTTCCCACCCACGTGTTCCAGGGGGCGGTGGAGGGGGGGTAGGTTCTCTCAACCATTTTGTCTTGGCCTGGGGAAACCATGTGGCAAACTCCATTTTGTCTTTTGTTTTTGTCCTGGGGGTTGTGGGGCTAGAAAACAATTTCTGCCTTTTGTTGGCTTAAACCATTTTCCTTTATATCTTTGTAGGTACTGCTATTTCCTTTAGTAAATTGTTATTTTTTACTATATCTCTTTGTATTGTCCCTTCATTATTGGAGGGGGTGGGGAGAGGTGGAAACAAAAGGGGACTGGCTTATTTGGAGTTCTATTTCTCTGGTTGTTTTGTCCAAAACCAATACAGTATTTTTTGGCACCCAATGTGGAGCAGTAGAGAGGAGTAAAAAATAGCAATTTTGATTGAAGTATTTGTGCACTGATAACAGAACTCCCTGGCAATCACATTGCTCAGTCTATTCATGTTGGTGTGGCACCTAACCCTTTCTACATGTCCCCATATGTGGAACTATTTGCCCAGCATGGTGCTCTTTTTAAGATCAGGGAGAAGAACCAAGATTGCTTTGTTGATATACTACTGTGTGACATCAGTTGATAATGTGGTAACTTCTGAGACAATAAGTTTCATTTGGAATGTGTATTTGGTGTTGTTTGCCTGTCCTGACCTGGGTTGCTACCTCTGGGGGTATATTGATAATGGCACCCAGCCTGTGGGGGGAACAGGAGAGGGTGATTTTTCCCAACCTTTCACCCCTTTCTCCTTCAAGTCCACTGCAACAGGTTTTGAAAAGGTTGAATTCCCTCTGGATGCTAAGGATAGCATAATCTTGTTGCTATGTCTGCCAGGTTTTCTCAGTATGGTCTACCTCCTGTTTAGAGACAGGACCAAGATTTCTAGGGAAGTTGTCTAGAGGCCCACCCCAGGGGTGGATAATTCTGAGTGGCATGGAATGTGGGAGGACACGGACCAGTATTTGGAGAACTTCTCTCCTCCAATGGTCTGGAAGTTCACCCCTGAACAACTACAGGACCCTGTTAAAATAAGATTTGTGAAGGGAAAATGCTGTGGCAGCTCCAGAATGGTACAAATTACTGCAACATGCTGGGCCCTGACCACTGTCTACTGGACACTGCTTGGTATGATACAGCACCTACAGGAAGAGGGAAAAGGAAACAGACCAACAGGCCCCATGTCCATGCAAACCGCAGATGAACCAGAGGGGAAGAAAGACACATCAACAGACACCCTGGTCACTTAGGCTGCAGTTGAACCAGAAGGGCAGCCTAAGCCAGTAGCAGTCGCCCCATGCAGAAGAGGAAATTCAAGACCAAATCAGTTCGCACAGTGAGTGACAATGGGGAGGCAAGACCCTCACAATCAGTGAAGGAGATAGAGCCAGAGGTAATCATTCACTCCCTATCCATGGGTGAGCTGCACAATCTGTGTAAAGAGCTCACCCGCCAGATAGGTGAGCCCATATTGACCTGGCTGCTCTGAGTCTCGGATTCCACAGGCAACGAGATGGTCCTGGATGTTAGTGAAGCAAGGTACCTAGGATCCCTGTCCCGGGATGTGGGCATTGATGAGGGGATCACAAAGAAGTCAGAAATTCTCAGCCTCTAGAGGCAACTCCTGTCAAGCGTGAAGGAAAGATATGTTTTTAAGAAGACCTTTATATTCAACAAAGCCAGTGGAACATCATGGAGCAAGGAATCCCACACCTGAGAGAATTAGCAGTGCTGGAGATAATTTTTACAGATGATGAGCAATTCCCTTAAAGTCGGGACAATGTCCAGTGCACATCACAGATGTGGCTGAACCTTGCACAGTTTGGACCAGCGATATGCTGGCTACTTGGCAACACTGCAATGGAACAAGGGAGAAGAGAAAGTGAGCTCTTTGATGAAAAAATCTGGACCTATGAAGACACTGTCACTGCCCTGTTATGAGTCCAAGTCGCATCCATGAAAAAACTGGCTAAGCATGTCCAGGACTTGGAAGAGAAAATTAAAGAAAATTAAAGAGGGTCACCAGAAACTCAGAGAGGAGTTTAGGGAGGCAATTTTCCATGTCTCACCAGTGCAGACCAGAGTCTATGCTATTAGGAGCAGGCTAGGGAAAGAGGGTACGCTCCACAAGGTAATCTCTGTTTTTTCCTGTACAAACATGGAGAAGACATGAGGAGATGGGATGGAAAACCCACCTCTGCCCTAGCAGCATGGGTATGTGAGTTGAAAGGAGAAATGACTACCAAAGGAAATTCATAGAGGATGAATGCAGCTCCAGTCTCCCATGGATGGCCCCCTAGACAGAATAGAAGGGATGATGTCATGTCTGATCCTCTTGAAGGGACCTACAGGTCATATTTACAGGGAGGAAGCAATGAGTACTATGACCAGAACTAGAGGGACCCTGCCTCTAGACAGGTAGAGGCCAGGGATAACAGGATCTATTGGACTGTGTAGATCCAATGGCTTGGCACATCAGATCCACAGGAGTATAAGGTTTTAGTTGACACCAGCACACAATGTACCCTAATGCCATCGAGATATGTAGGGGCAGAATCCATCTCTATTTCTGGGGTGACAGGGCAGGCCCCAACAGTTGACTGTACTGGAAGCTGAAGTGAGCTTGACCGGGAAGAAGGGGCAAAAACACCCCATCGTGACTGGCCCAGAGGCCCTGTGCATCTTTGGCATAGATTAACTCAGAAGAGGGTATTTCAAAGACCCAAAAGGACATTGGTGGGCATTTGGGATAGCTGCTGTAGAGAGAGAAGAAGCAAGACAGCTGAGTACCTTGCCTGATCTTTTAGAGGACTGCTCTGCTGTGGGACTGCTGAGGGTTGAAGAACAATGGGTGTCAATCGCCACTGCAACAGTGCATCATTGGCAATACCGTACAAACCAAGACTCCATGATTCCCATCCATAAGATGACTCGTGAACTGGAGAGCCAGGGAGTGGTCAGCAAGACTCTCTCACCCTTTATTAGTCCTATATGGCTGGTGCGTAAGTTCAATGCAGAGTGGAGACTGACAGTAGACTATCCTGGCCTGAATGAGATCACACCACCACTGAGTGCCGCTGTGCCAGACATGTCGCTACCTTGTGACACAGAAGAAGAACAATTTCAAGTGGGGCCCAGAGCAACAACAAGCTTTTGAATATATCAAACAAGAGATTTCTCATGCAGTAACCCTAGGGCCAGTCAGGACAGGATAGGATGTAAAAAATGTACTCTACCCTGCAACTGGAGAGAATGGTCCTTCCTGGAGTCTCTAGCAAAAAGTACCTGGGGAGACTCAAGGATGACCTCTGGAGTTCTGGTGATGCCTTAAATGCACATTATATAGATTTTAGCTCAGCTTTCTAACACTTTAGAATAAGGACTTGTAGTTAACTACCTTCTTGAAATATTGTTTAATATTCCTTTTCAAGGATTCCAATGCAAAAGATTTTTAGCAAGGTAAACAACATTTTATCTGTAAAAAATGTTTTTAGAACAAGACATGACAAGCACATTGCTTGATATGACCAAGTCAAAATTATTCAGAAGACCCAGAGGCCTTGAAATTGTTCCAAGGAGGCCAGAAGATGCTGACGAAGAGGAGGATGGGAGGAAGGGGTGATCTTTTTGAGACCACCAACTCAGATCCAGGAGGCGTGCCGGAGGGAGGTCCAAAGGGATGGACAGTTTACAGGCTGGGTATCATGGCTAGGCTTCGCGAACAAAGATTTGGGAAGGGCTCTACCCATTTTTCATGCAAGCGCGTTGGTGGCTAAAAAGGCCAATATGAGAAAGGCAAGTCCGGTTGCAAAAGACACAGCAGAAAGACTCCTTAGATGGTATATTCTGCAAGGTTCGATTCTTTCTGCGTTGTCTTTTCTCCTCAAGAGTGATCCTGCGTGCTTTCTCAAAAGCATCAGCAGCGTCTCCAGGCCTCCGATTAGAGGCCAGAGTGGACCAGTTATGGTGATCAATATGCCCGAGGCTGAGTTGTTGCTTCAGGGAGTCCTTGTATCTTTTCTTTGGAGCTCCTCTCTTGCGGCAGCCAGTGGCAAGTTCACCATAGAGCAGGATCTTAGGGAGGCGGTGGTCCTTCATCCTAGAGACGTGCCCTGCCCATCGCAGTTGCGTTCTCAGTAACATGGCCTCAATACTCGTAATTGCTGCCTGTTCGAGAACAGATGTATTGGTCACATAGTCTGACCAATGGATGTTAAGGATTGTACGGAGGCAGCGTTGATGGAAGCGTTCTAGGAGACGCAGGTGGTGGCGGTAGATGACCCATGATTCGGAACCATATAAAAGAGTAGACAGCACTATGGCTCTGTAAACACTGATCTTGGTGCTTTTCTTCAAGTGTTTATTACGCCATACTCGTTTATGGAGTTTTCCAAAAGCACTATATGCCTTCGCTAACCTATTGTCTATCTCCCCATCAATCTTACCATCTGAGGAGATGAGGCTGCCTAGGTAATTAAACTGTTGGACTGAATTGAGTTCTGACTGGCCGATGGTGATGTGGGGATGGTGGGGGACTTCCTGGGGTGCAGGCTGATGGAGAACTTCTGTCTTCTTTAAGCTGACTTCCAGCCCAAAGAGCTCAGCAGCCTCTGCAAAGCAGGATGTTAAACGCTGCAGAGCTGCTTCTGTGTGGGCAACAAGGGCGGCGTCATCAGCATAGAGCAGCTCCCGGACAAGATGGTTTAGGGTCTTAGTATGGGCCTTCAGTCGCCTTAGGTTGAATAGGCTTCCATCAGTACGATATCGAATGTAGATACCGTCCTGATCATCGAGGTCTGCCGTGGCCCTTTGGAGCATCATACTGAAAAAGACTGTGAATAGGGTAGGAGCGAGAACGCAGCCTTGTTTCACACCATTCTTTATTAGAAAGGGCTCAGAAAGTGTGTTGCCATATCTGACTTGGCCGTGCTGATCCTCATGAAGTGAGATGATCATTTTAAGGAACTTGGGGGGACAACCTAAACGTTCCAAAATCTGCCACAGACCTTTTCTGCTCACAGTATCGAAAGCCTTGGTGAGGTCGACAAAGGTTACATAGAGACCTTTGTTCTGTTCCCTACACTTCTCTTGCAGTTGTCTGAGAACAAATATCATGTCTGTGGTGCTCCTGTTGGCTCTGAAGCCACACTGACTTTCAGGTAGAATTTCTTCTGCTATAGCGGGTATTAGTCTGTTCAGGAGTATTCTTGCCAAGATTTTGCCAGCAATGGAGAGCAGAGTAATACCACGGTAGTTTGAGCAGTCTGATTTAGTACCTTTCTTCTTATACAAGGTGATGATGACTGCATCACGAAGGTCTGAAGGTAGTTCGCCTAGTTCCCAACAGAGCACCACAAGCTCATGAAATTTAGCATGGAGTGCAAGGCCCCCATGTTTCCAGACTTCAGGTGGGATTCCATCAACCCCAGCTGCCTTGCTGATTTTCACCTGCTGTATGGCCTTGAGGGTTTCTCCTAGAGTGGGGGCAGTATCCAATTCGTATTTCACCGGTTGTTGTGTGATGGACTGAATTGCTGAGTCTTGTACTACACGGTTGGTACTGAAAAGAGTCTGAAAGTGTTCAGACCATCTATTCAGAATGGAGGTTTGATCTGTCAGAAGCGTTTGACCATCTGCACTGAGTAGTGGGCTTTGGACTTGGTATGTAGGCCCGTATGCTGTTTTCAGGGCCTCATAGAATCCTTTGTGATCCCCTGTATCTGCACAGAGTTGAGTTTTTGCAGCTAGATCGGTCCACCATTTGTTCTGGATGTCACGGAGTTTCTGTTGGAGCTTGCTGCAAACAAGACGAAAGGCTGTTTTTCTAGCATGACAGGATGGCAGTGCAAGGTGTGCTTGGTGGGCGGTTCTCTTCTTCCTCAACA